GGGACCAGGGGATGAAGGGACCAGGACAAAGGGAGCAAAGGACCAAGCGATCAGGGAACCAGCAGGCCAGGACCAAAGGAGTAGAGGGAATTTTCTTGTTGATACGAAATAATGTTTTTTGATAGGACACAATTTTTTGGGATAGGAATCAATTTTCTTTTTGATAGGTATCCCCCGGACTGAGCGCCTCAACGATCTGTAGCTCTCCATCCTGCTCCGGTGCTCCTGACCCAGCTCCACTCGGGAAGGGAACCAGCCGAGTAAGGAAGGATCCCAAGGAAAGCGCGAAAACCGGGGCGAAGAACGCGAGTAGCTGCCCATCTTCCAAGGTCACGCGTAAACCGCCGCTGATGGCGCGGCCGGGTATCCTGGGCCTGGGGTATCCTGCAGGTTGGGCGGCGCAAGCTAGTTGCATGCTTTGTCATGGGGCCAGTGGTTAAGCCCCAAAAGTTTGGTGAACCCTTCCAAACTCAGGTGAAACACGGCAAGTGCCCCAAAAACAACGTCAAAGACTGGAAACTACATCTGTCCCACTGCCTCCCGCTGCTATGCTAAGGCGCTGGGAGCACCAAAGGGCCCACGATGACTCGAAAGCAGCTTTCAAAACCATTCACTCAGACTTATTTCTGCACGCACAAATCCATCAAGCTCTGGCTATAGAAGGCATACACCCCAAGCTTGGGTTACACTTGGAGTCCTCCAAGATTCTTCAATTCTGATATATACATTCTGATGATTTATTATGAACACTAGGTCGGCCCACCCCTTCTCACGCCCAGAATCACCCAACCCTTCGCCCAAATCCCTTCGCCCTCCTGGCTTCCAGCGGTGGACCTGGCCCACTTCGGAACCGAAATGTTCCCCTTTCCAACCTCCAGGAAGCCCAAAGCTTCTAGTTCCCATGAGCTCACTTCGCTTCGCGAAACGCGTTTCACCACGTTGGAGAGAAGCTCACCCGGGTGAATGACAACTCCACTTGTTTGTGTCCATATCTGGGCCCCTGGGCACCTGGCATGGGATGACATACATGCATGGGAGCTGAGGGAGAAGCTGAGGAAAGCCATGCATTTCTGACTCTTCTTGTCCAACAATGCCCTGCGCGAGGCTGACGGAGCTTGACTTTTGAGTATCTTGCTTCAAAGAACACCAGGTCATGTTGCCTAGCACTGGGTGGTTTTCACCAACCTTGTCCCATCTCCACCGCCTCTGCTCCAGCTGCAGGAAGTCCAATCGCTCCGAGGTTAACTTGCGCCCGGCCTCGAGGCTAGCGGCTAGCGGCTTCGGTCGGCTGCGTGTGGCGAAGGAACTGATTCTTCACCTACTACCCGGCAGGTCAGTTCAACAATGAGAATCATCACGGAATCTGAACATGGATCGCTATCCGATCCCTTCTGGATCAAAATCCCGGGTCCAAAAAAAGGTTTTTCTAACAAACAGGTGTGAACTATAAGTTCTATAGATGGTTCTAGGTAGTCGTTATTTAGCCTTACCCAGGTCCAGATGTGCCCGACCTGGATATCTGTTCGGGTGGACCCGGAACGAACACCTCTCGTGTTTCCGCAGTTCGTCGTCACGGGGTTCTGGGCACCCGGACGCTCAAACCTGAGGACCCGCGCTGTTGGAAGGCGCTGAGTTAGCGCTGGATGAACAAGTAAGTGAAGCAGAAAACAACGCCAAAACGTGTGTTGATGCCTTGGTTTGTGTTGCTTCACCACAACAATAAAGTTGCTTCAACATGCTTAAGGCCGAATATATAATGCCAGGCGAAGAAACATGCCAGGCATGTCAGGATTGCTGCGGGCCAAGTCAGCTTCATTGGCCTCCGGGCGTGTGATGGGCAGGGTGCGTGTGATGGGCGTGGCATGTGAACATCGATTTGGTAAGCTGAGCTAAAGTTACCGTCATCTTACATGTTGAAATGATAGTAGTACACGAATCCAGGAAGAGAAGAAGCATCGCGTGAATGCACCCTGGCATGGCATGCACAATCCACCCAAGACCAACGGCTGTTAGCACCCAATGGCACCGTTTTCCTTAGCTGGCACTAACACGGCAATGCGAAGAAACATCAA